CTCCAGGTCAATGAGATCTGTATGATGTTCTTGATCTCCCCTCACTTCATATCAGCTGGATGCTTCATTCACAGCTCTATCCCTCTGTGGCTATGTCCTTGTCCATGGGTTCAGGTGTTCCCAGGTCTCACCACACTTTGGACCAACCAACTCTTACTCTTCTTTCATCTCCATGTCGACGGAAGTCTATCTGTATGATGTTCTTGATGTCATCCCACAACTCTTCTGGTTTTGGTCATTAGTGACTAATGCATCAAATCTGTTATTGAAATATTTTCTAAATTCAGGAGGGATATATTCAAATCCATATTTTTGTTCTTGAAGACTTTTAAACATTTTTTTCAGCTTGTGCTTGGGCATGCATATGAATAATTGATGGTCTGTTCCACAATCTGTCCTTGGTCTTGTTTCAGATGATGTTATTAAGCTTTCTCACCATCTCTTCCCATAGATGTAGTCAATTTGATTCCTGTTCCTGTGAAATCTATTTGTTGAAGTCTATGTGCATAATCGTCCTTTATGGTGTTCAAAGAAGGTATTTGTAATGAATAAGCCATTGGTCTTACAAAATTTATCATTCAATCTCCAGCATCATTTCTATCACCAAGGTCAGTCATATTTTCCACCTACTGATCTTTCATCTTTGTTTCCAACCTTTGCATTCCAATCACCAGTAATTATTAATATATCTTGATTTCATGTTTGATCAATTTCAAACTGAAGAAGTTTGAAGAATTCTTAAGTTTCATCATCACTGGCTTTAGTGGTTAGGTTAGTACGTAAAGTTGAATACTAGAGGTATTAACTAGTATTCCTTGCAGGCATATAGATATTATCCTATCACAGACAGCATGTAGCATTATAATTCAAGATAGACCTTTAAATTTTCTTTTAGACAATAAATGTGATGTCATTTCCCTTCAATTCGTTGCTTCCAGCATTGTAAACCATATACTTGTCTATGATGAGGAGGCAGGTCTTCCACAGTCATATATATATATATATATATATATATATATTTTTTTTTAAGGAAATAAATTAATTTTTTCCTGAAAACATCAGGAACTATGAAAAACAAGCCTAATATCTGGGCATACTAGTAGCAAAATATAGTAAAAATAACATTTAAAAACTGTGTTTACCCTTAAAACATGTTTTTAAATTTACCATATTTAACACTCTTTCCTCTACAGAGCAAAACACATCTACTAAACCACAACACTGGAGTTCTTTTAAATAACATAATTTTTTCAAGTAAAAAATTTAAAGAAAAAAATCTTAAAAGCACTAATACCCACCCTGGAATCTCATGATTTATAAATCAACATGCTCAAATATCAGTGAAAATAAAGTTTATAAACCTGAAAACAAATCTTTCAATAAATTTAGATCTCAAAGGAATGCAGTTATTTTATAGCGAGGTAAGAATGGTTTGTCACACATTTTTTTTACCCAATACAAAGAAACACAAGAGAAATGAAAACAACCCATAAAATCACAATCCTTGTCTAGAGTCACAGCCTTCACACAAAGCAAAAGGACTTAAAGGTGTATGTTCTAGAGGCATATAAGCAGTTATTTTTAAGTGCCTTTCATCTTGAAAAGCACATATTCCAGCAGTATATGACAATATTCTGGTGCTTTTCTTTATGTTTTCCTCTTCTGGCATTATATCTGACTATGTTCCACTGATATTTATAAGGTTTTCATTGGATGGACATTCAGAAGTAGTCCTTCTCTCCTTTTTCCTAGTCTGTCTTAATCTGAGAGCTCCACTGACCCTGTCCACCATGGGTGACCCTCCAGGATTTAAAATACTGGTGTCATAGCATCTAGCATCACAGCAATATGCAAGCTATCACAGTACGACAAACTGACAGATGAGTGATGTAAACTCACCTTTATAAGTATACAATTCTGTTATTTTTAGTAGTTACAGAGTTGTGCAACTATCACCACTATTTAAAGCATTTTCATGACTTCCAGCAAGAGTGAGGATTAGGTACACACACTGCACAGACTCTCAACAAGAGAGATATAAGAGACAAAATAAAACAGACACAGATAAAATTCTGGCACCTTGAACGTCACAAAAAAAGTGAGAGAGGTGGAGAAAGTGCTTGCTGGGAAGAGAGGCAGTGCAGGGAGGGTGAGAGAAGAAGACTGATTGGTGAACAGCTGCCAGATGTGTCGTAAGCATCTTGTGAGCAGCTTTGGCAGCAGTGAGAGGCCTGGTGTTCATGAGAGTGACAGAAAAGATTAGATTTCTTCTTTTTCCCCATGCTCTCCAGGTGACGAGGTGTGGGCATCTTCCACCCTCTTCTATCCCCAGCAAAGACCTTGCTTTTCTGGGAGTTCAGAGCCATGTGGTTGGGAGCCATGACAGTGTGAGGTCAGGGCTGGATGCGCTGCTTTGGTGTGCAGCTTTGGTGCATGGATTCAGGTGGGCTTGGCTCCTGACCTCTAAAACTTACAGAATCACCAGACCAGCATTTAACTTGTCACCCTGCTGCCAGCTTCCCCGTGGTCCTAGCAGATGCTGAATCAGTTCCATCCAAGGCCCCACACAAACTACTTTCAGATTGACTGTTTTGAACATACTTCTGGATTGAGTACCCTGAACAATGAGTTCCAAGACCAATAAAAACTCCATCTAGAGCCAAAACTCTGCTGTCATATCCCTTCCATAACAACCTTGGGGGTTCCTAAAATTGTAGAATCCTCTCAGATATTTCTCCTCTCCGGGTCCAACAACGACACTATTTTTACAAATACAACAATCTCACAATGCCCTGGAGACAACAGACAATAGCAGCTCACAAAAACAAACAAGAGAAAATGGCTCAAACAAATGACCAAGATGCAGAGCCAGAAGATGTCTCTGAGGAAGAAAAGGTAATAGGACTAACTGAAAAAGAATTTAAGAGAATGATAATTAAGCACCTTCAAACAACTGATAGAAAGATTGAAAAAAGAAAGCACACAATAAAAACTTTAAAAGAATTCAAAAAACATAACAAGAACAGACAAAATAAATACAAATTTTGAAACAACACAAAATTTTCAATTAGAAATCCAGAAGATTAATATTAAGATCTCAGAAATGGACAATACATTGAAAATGCAAATGAGTAGATGCAAAGTAATGGAAGCCTGAATTAGTGAGTTTGAAGATAAATGTCTCAACATTACTATACTAGAAGCACAATCAGAAAAAGGAATGAAAGAATCCCAAGAAAGCCTAAGAGTTACATGAACTACAATTTATGGGTGATTGGAATTCCAGAACAGGTAGAGGACAAGCACAGAGAAAAATTTTGAAGAGTTGTTAGAAGAAAACGTTCCTAACATCATGAAAAATGAGGAGATAACACATACGAGAAGCTAAATGAGCCTCCAACAGAATAGATTCCAAAAGAAAATCACCAACACATACAATCAAACTTTCCAAAATCAAAGACAAGGAAAGAATCCTGAGAGCAGCTCAGGAAAAATGAAAAGTTATCTCCAAAGGAGAACCAGTAAGACTAAACTCAAATTTCTCAGTAGAAACCATGCAGGCAAGAAGGCAATGGAATGAAATATACAAAACTCTTACAGAGAAAGATTGCCAACCAAGAATCAAATACAAAGCAAAGCTGGTCCCCCAAATACAATGGTGAAATTAGGACATTTCCTGATAAAAAGAAATTAAAGGAATAAGAAGAATATTGAAGGTACCATGGGTTACCATAAGGACAAATAGATCTGTGTCAGAAGTACAGCCAGAGAGACTCTTAGAAGCCAGGATGGAGAGACTTTATCTCTCATACATCAGACATGTTATCAGGAGGGACCAGTCCCTGGAGAAGGAACATCATGCTTAATAAAGTGGAGGGCCAGAGATAAAGAGGAAGACCCCTAAGGAGATGGATTGACACAGTGACAGCAGCAATGGGCTCAAACATAGTAACTGTGAGGATGACGCAGGACCAAGCAGTGGTTTGTTCTGTTGTCCACAGTGATGCTGCAAGTCAGAACTAACCTGATGGCACCTATTAACAACAACAAAAAAGGTGCGTTGTATATGTGAATTGTTGTTGTTGTTAAGTGCTGTTGAGTTGGTTCTGACCCATAGTGACCCTGTATAGGGTTTCCCAGGAGCAGCTGGTGAGTTTGAACTGCCGACCTTGCAGTTCAAACGGCTTTACAGTCTGGCACATTAACCCACCGCACAACACCAAGACTCCAAATGTGAACTAAGTCTCACTAAAGCTCTGGAAGTATAGTGACTACCAGTTGGGCTGCTAACTTTAAGGTCAGCAGTACTAAACTACCAGCTGTTCCATGGGAGAAAGATGAGGCTTTATGCTCCCATGAAGATTTACAAGCTCAGAAATCCTATACAGGGTTGCTATGAGTCAAATCAATTCCACAGCACATAACCACTATCACCATCAAAGCCGTTATAGGAAGTACAGTGGTTTGCGAACCAAAAGTTTAGTGGCTCCAGCCCACCAGCCACTCTGCAGAAGAAAGGTGAGGCTGTCTATTCCTATGAAGATTTATGGCCTCAGAAACCCTGTAGGGTCACTATGAGTCAGAACCTACTTGATGGCACTTATCAACAACAACAAAGGTGCTACAAATAATGAAGAAATAAAATTTAAAGACATAAAAAAACACTGTAAAGACCTCTGATGAACTGAACTATTTGTACCACATAGAAACTCATGTTTTCACTTCAGATAAGAGATTTAAGATTTATTTCTATATAAAAACTTTCATGTTATCTTAAATATCCCCAGAAAGGTGCCATTCATTAACAAAACAAAAATGACTGAAATATGTACATGTTTTTTATAACCCTGATTACAAGTATTTCACAAAACATTCCTAATAAGTCAGTCTACTATAGAATCTGTAAGTGAGCTGTGTGAGGGAAATTCTCTTTCTTGGAAATGCTGCCTGGATTAAAAAGTAAAAGCAAAGTATTCAAAGCAGCTACAAAATGGATATACCTGCACTTGAATCTTGCAGCAAAGGTGCAGCTGTGGTGCTGAGACTGTGAATAAGATTTCCAAGTTCTTGTAAAGCACACACCAGCATGTGTTGGCTGGCTGCTACATCTGTGGATCCAATCCGGGTCTCCAAATTACCATCACTCATTACAGCATCTGATTGAAGTGAAAGAAGTAACTATGCAATCACTGTTTTATTAAAATATATAGTATGAGTGAGTATTAGAATGGGAAAAGTACAAATGCAAAAATTAAAATATCTCAATCTATATGAAATTCTGAAGCAATAAACTGTTTAACTAAAATGCCAAAGGAAAAATTAATGTGATTTTATTTACAGGAGTCCTGGATGGCAAAAATGGTTCACTAACAGCTTTACTAGTAACTGAGTGACTAGTAATTCAAGTTCACCCAGAGACTCCTTGGAAGAAAAGTCTGGTGACCTACTTCTAGAAAAATCAGCTATTCAAAATTCTATGGAGCAAAGTTCTACTCTGGCACACATGGGATTATCATGAGTTGGAATCAACTTGATTGTAATTGGTTTTAATTTTATTTAGTTCAAGCAACCTTGTTTGGATTCCTTATTATTTTTCTAGCAACTGGCAAGGAAAGGGAGAACTCAAGGGAAACTAAAAAGATCCAAGTTTAGTAAGACTCAAGCAGAGTGCACTTAGTACAGGAACTGAGATGGACTAAATGGTTTAAAAAACAAGAGACTATTATCACCAGGCTTTAAATTTCAAGCTGTTTTAACATTAACTTACCAAGTTAATTTATATCTCACCAATATATTAATTTTTTTATCCTGAAACAACTGAACTCTAATAGAAAAAAAAAGTTTTTATATTAATATAGTAATATACCAGTTTAGATTTACCAAAGGCAATTCCTTCAACACTATTAAAACAGAGTCTTAGTGGATTCATACCTATAACTTTCTTTTGTTTCCAAATGGTTTGGCAAATATCCTTGGCAGCAGCAATTTGAGCCTTTTCTCCAAGAAGGCTTCCTATAGTAGCTCGAAGGATGAAAGAAACACAACGGCGACAGCAGACAGCATCAATCTGTGTGGCTTTAGAGAATGACTGTGACACAAGGTTTAGGATATGAGAAAGAAAGGGAGCAAAATTTCTCTCTAACCAAGCTCCTCCGAGTGTAGAAACAAATACAACATAAACCTAAAAATAAAGAAAGAAATTTTATCTTTAAAATGAAACAATTATGTTACTATTTTCCTTCCTATATGATTGGGCTTTAAGAAGTTCATGGAACTTTCTCATTATCTTTTCATTCAATTGTTGCACACAATTTTGGAAGCCCCTTTGTAGAATATGTTGAATTTACTAAAGTCGAAACTGAAGCACAGGTCTTTCATGTTGAGATTTCATTTATGCAGATAAGTTGTTTTATTTTTGTCAGCCCATCAGCTAAACATGCAAAATGTGCCTGACTTTTATGAACAAAAGTTTCAAGCTATTTATAATTATGAATAATGAAAACCCAAATCAAACAGATGAATACAGTGTAATCAACTATACTCTAACACTTTTAGGGAATCTATGTTCAAGAGACCTGGTAGGAATGTTTACAGTGATGAATCACTGCTCTTTTATTTTCATGAATATCAATCAATGGTTTGTATAGCTCCTAAAACACAGCTAGTTTTCTTACGTAATAAGTTTCTTAGAAGCACATAGTCTAATTACGATTATATTTGTACATCTTGCCATTTTCATGAAACATACAACAATGAGAATAAAGGTGAATTTTCAAATATGTAAATTTGCTTTGTAAACTTATGAGGGTACCAGGGGAAATTTTTTTCAAATTAAGAATGTGAACGCCTTTATGTTATTTAAAGCATTTTTTCTAACGTTTATGATCCTTTAATTTTGTCTAAGAACAAGAATTTAAGCACTCAATACATTATATGCTGTAATTTTTATTTAGTTGAAAAAATGCTAATGCTAAATAATATGTACCTCATAGCTTAATTTTTACCATACAGACATACAAACAATGGAAAACATGTGAAGCCACAAGATACATGAAAATATCTAGCCTAGAAACAAATAGACAAAAAGCTGTTTCAGAAAACAAAAACTTACTTCATTATTAGAAACATAAAACAAATTGTGTTAAAGGACTCTTACTTTAGTTTAGCTTAAGTACAGTTCTCTTATTTGTAACCTAGTTCTGAAAAAGAAGTTTGGCCTCATCATTTCAATTTGTGATTATGAGAACTTAACTATGACCTTGCATGATATCACTTCTCCCTAGAATTAGATTCTTAAACTACCAATATAGGTCAATGAAGATTATATTTGACTTTGGATTTGTGATTCCAACCTGAGTAACTCCAACTCGAACTTCCCTACTGACTGAACTGGTTCCTTTCAGCATATCTCCACTGGCTCGAAGAAATCCTGAACTCCCACGAAGAAATCCTGTTCCTAGTAATTCCAGAACTTCCTCCAGAGATATTTTGCGAATGCTTTGACGTGAGGCTGCTATAACGAAGAACAAAATAAAAATGTGATTCATATTTTACAGACAAAATTTTAATGTATGATCTTGATTTGTAATAAGCCTATGTTAATATAAACAAAAATAAACTAAAATTCAAACAAAATACAAAATTCACAGGACATTAGACACACAAATGCATGAAATAAACTGAGGGTTCTAAGGTCAAGTCTTAATGAAATTTAGATAAAGTTCATGTTTACTTTAAAAAATTTCCAAATGGCTGTACAACTTTTGCTGTTTCCTTCACCTGTGAAAAAAATCAAAACTGCAACTCTTCAGTCAGCTTTTGTTGTTGTTGTTAAGAGACACTAAGTTGGCTCCAACTTACAGAGACCCTCTCTGGGGTTTCAGTGGCTGGTGGCTCTGAACCACTGACCTACAGACTAGCAGTCTAGTGCTTATTCTACAGTACCAATCAATAATTAAAGAGATCTTAGCCAGAGAAGGAATGTTTATATTCAACATCAACTTCATACAGCTGAGTTTCTAAGGCTATAATTATTCTCAGATCAACTGGGTTAAGAGAAAGTACCATTTCTTCCTCCTTTTATTCTTCTTCTAAAAAATGGTGGTCATAAATTCTGAACTGTATAAACTTAAGCCACATGTTGTTGTTGTTATAGTTATGTGCTGTCCACTTGGTTCCGACTCATAAATAGCAACCCTGCATAGGGTTTCTGAGGAGCAGCTGGTGAGCTTAAACTGCTGACCTTGTGGTTCAAACTGACCTTGCAGTCCAGCGTATTAACCTACAATGCCACATCAGGGCTCTGCTGAAAGGGTTGTTGTTGTTAAATGCCATCGAGTTGATTCCAACCCATAGCAACTATATATAGGGTTTCCAAGGGGTGTCTGGTGAGCTTGAACTGACAAGCTTATAGATCAAACCAACTTTGCAGTCAGCACATTAGACTCAGAGCGCCACACCAGGACTCCTGCTGAATGAGCAGCAGACTTAAAATACCTACTGATGAAGATCAAATACCACAGCCTTCAGTATGGGTTATCTCACTCAATGTAAAGTTAAAAAAAAATGCTCAACATTTGACCAATAAATAAAATCATGAAAAGTGGAGAAAATAATTTATTTTCCTTGGATCCACTATCAACACTCCTGGAAACAGCAGTCAAAAAAATCAAACAGTTTATTTCATTAAGCAAATCTGTTTCACAAGACTTCTTAAAGTGTCAAATAGCAAAGCTGTCAGTTTGAGAACTAAGATATGCCTGACCCAAGACATGGTATTTTCAATAGCCTCATATGCATGTGAAAATTGAAAATGAGTAAGAAAGACCATAGAAGAATTGATGCTTTTAATTTATGGTGTTGGTGAATAATATTCAAAGTACTCTGGAGTGCCAGAAGAATAAACATATCTATGTTGGAGAAAGGAGTCAGAATGTTCCTTAGGAGCCAGGATGGCAAGACTTTGTCTCTTGCACTTTGAACATATTGTCAAGAGGGTCCATGCCCTGGAGAAGGACACCATATTTGATAACGTGGAGCTTCAGCAATAAAGAGGAAGATCCCCAACAGGATGGACTGGCACAGTGGCAGGAGGAATGGGCTCAAGCCTAACTATTGTGATGATGACAAAGGTACTATTTGGTTCTGTTGTGCATTTAAGTCAGAACCGACTTGATATGACACATAACAACAACAAATAACAATCTAGACAGATTTTTCTCAAAGGTCACAGGACCATCATACAGGCTTATCAGGAAGAAATTTTCAAAAAACTGAAAAAAGACCAGGAAAGTTGCTCCAAGAATTCTTTTCCATCGTGACAATGCGCCTGCTCATTGTTTGAGGGTAGTAAGGGCTATCATATGAGAATTTTGTTGAGAGACCTTACCCCATCTAACTTACAGCACTGATCTTTCTGGATTTCTTTTTCCCTTCCCTAAACTCAATTATCATCGAAAAGGAACATAATTTGAATCTTGACGATGCCAAAATTGATGTTTTGACTTGGTGTAAATCAAAGAATGCAAAATTCTTCCAGAAAGGATTGTTGCTGTTGCTGTTACATACTGCTGAGTCAGTTCTGACTCAGCAACTCTATGCACAACGGAATGAAATACTGTCTCATCCTGCACTATCCTCACAATTATTAATATACTTCAGTCCATTGCTGCTGCCACTGTGCCAACCCATCTCCTGGTGTGTCTTCTCTTTTTTGCTGACCCTCCACTTTACCAATCATTATGTTCTTCTTCAGGGACTGGTCCTTCATGATAACATGTCTGAAGTACTAGATTTAGTCTCACCATCCTTGCTTCTAAGAAGCAGTCCGGCTATACTTCTTCCAATATAGATTTCTTTGTTCTTCTGACACTCATGGTACTTTTAATATTCAAATGTATCAATTAGTCTATGGTCGTCTTTATTCACTGTCCAACTTTCACATGCATATGGAGCTACTGACAATACCATGGCTTGGGTCAGGTGCACCTTATTCCTCAAACTAGTATCTTTGCATGGAACACTTTAAAGAGGTCTTGTGCAGCAAATCTGCCTAATGTAATATATTGTTTGAATTTTTGGCTGCTACTTCCATGAATGTTGATAGTGGATCCAATCAAAATGAAGTCTTTGGAAAAAAAACTTCATTCTTTTCTCCACTTATCATGATGTTATTTATTGGTCTAGTGGTAAGGATTTTTTCTTTACACTGAGGTGCAGGCCATACTGAAGGCTGTCGTCTTTGATTTTCACCTGTTATTTTAAGTTTTCTACCCTTTCAGCAAAGGAGCTCTGGTAGCGCATTGGTTATGAATCGGGCCGTGAACCGCAAGATCAGCAGTTCGAAACTACTAGATGTTGTGTGGGAGAAAGATGAGGCTTTCTGCTCCCACAAAGATTTACAGCTTCGGAAACCCTGTTCAGGGTCACTATGAGTCAGAACTGACTCCATGGCACATAACCACCATCACCCTTTCAGCAAGCAAGATTGTATCATCTGCATGTGTCGCAGGTTGCTAATGAGTCTTCCTCCAATCCTGATGCCATGCTCTTCTTCATATAATCCAGTTTCTATGATAATTTGCTCAGCATACAGATAAAATAAAAATGGTGAAATAATACAACGCTGGCATACACCATTCCTTATTTTAAACAACCCAGTGTCTCCTAGTTCTGTTAGAACAACTGATTTGAGGTCTGTGTATACATTACTCATGAACACAATTAAGGGTTCTGGAATACCCATTCTTTCCAATGTTATCCATAAAGTTGAAAGCCTTTGTATAGTTAATAAAGCACAGGTAAACATCTTTCTGGTATTCTCTGCTTTCAGGGAAGATCCATGTGATATCAGCAATGATATTCCTAGCTCCATATACTCATCTGAATCAGGCCTGGATGTCTGTTAATGTACTACTGAAGCCAGTTTGTGTGTGTAAGTGAATTCAGTGAAGGTTTACAGACAAGCTCATCAGTTTTACATTCAACGAGTCATACACTTTGTTTCATCTCATAGACTGCAATCCCCTCCATGTAACAAGAGTTGTCCTGCTTCCCCTTTGTAGTTGTTACCCATGTACAAATAATCTCTTTCAAACTGTGGGATACATAAATGTATATATACACCAGTGTTTCTCCCATACCCACTGTCTGTGTTGCTGTTCATGTATCTACATACAGAATACTGTTGGTCTAAGTGTGTGTATATATCACTATTTACCTCTATTCCCTTTAGCCCTTGTAGCTGTTTTTGAATTATCTTTAGCAAAATTTCATCTGCATATATTAATGATGTTGTTTGATGATGTCAGCATTGTGTTGGGTCACCTCACTTTGGAATGGGCATAAATACAGATTTCATCCCATAAGTTGGCCATACAGCTAGCTGTCTTCCAAATTTCTTAGCA